TGTTTTATTTTGGCTGGAATAAAAGCAGTTTTTAGTTTTTTTTTAACTATTTTTCGATAGCCTGCAGAACAAACCATCATTTTACAATGCTTGCCTAATTACCCTAACCTGCCGAGTTCACGTAATAAACCTATTTAAGCCATTAAATATCACTTTAATCTGTATAGAAGTGTCTTAAAAAGATATCTAGTAAAATATTATTTGCTGTCATCATGGCAAAGATGAAATAAATAAGTTAATAGAGATGATTTATTAAAGCTATTGTGTTTAGAAATGTGTTAGAAATCTTCTCTCAGTTAAACAGAAATTAAACACGGGGAGCTAATAATTCAGGGCGGCTAATAATTCTGACTTCAACTGTGTATTGTAAAAACAAAAAAACAAAAAAACAAAAACAGCTTGGACGTTCTGCCAAATATTTATTTTTGATTTTCACAGAATAAAGAAGTCATACAGGTTGACTGAGGACATGAGGATGAGTAAAGGAGTTTAATTTTGAAATAAATTATCCACTAAATGCCCAAACACAATCATGTTTTCCTAAAATCATATCTGCCCATGAGGAATATGCTTTTATCTGCCTGTTTGATGTAAAAAAGAAAGAAAGCTTGGATTCCACAACTGAATAAAAGTAAATAAATAAATAAAGGAAATAATTGCTTTCTAACATTTCTTCTTGCTTTTGCAAGTTAATTTCTTAAACAGCTAAGAAACACAATGTGAATTGTGAGCTATAAATTCAGAATCGTGTGGGAAAAAACTAACGCCAACCTGATTTCACCAAGTAGGACATGTTCCTGGGTTAACATCTTTGTTGATCCTGGAACAACATTCCAATCAGCCAGTCAGAATTTATGGATATGTTAACCGTTTATGTTAAGTTTAGGCTTATGGTTAGGTGTATGCACTTCTACATAATTGTTATCCAACTATCAATTCCCTCTGAATTTGTGATTAATCCACAGTTGGGTTTAGGGGTAGGGAATAGGTATTCGAACTAAAACGATGTTCCAGGATCAACATGTTAATCCAGGATTGCAGGATTGCAAAATCATGACATGCAAAAATGTGTTCCCAGATATAAACGCTAGATATGAGAAAAAATAATTGCAAATAGATTTATATCTGCAAGAAAAACAAGATGTAAATTAATTCCAAGACATAAACAGCAAAAATTGCAAGGAAGCCAACAGATAAATGAGAATTTATTTAATTGAATGGAAAAAAGGGAAAATTAAAACAATATATTAACAATTCGGATTTTGTCTCTCAGTTTCAAACTTGATTCTGAATTTTCTTCATATTTTGCGGAAAAAGGATGCAATAAATGCCAAAATATGAGTAAAATATGTAAAATATAGTGCTAGATGTAAACTATTTTTTTTTCTTACAGTTCTTTGTTTACTTGATTCAAAATCATTTTATTTGAGATGAAGTAATTGTGATTCCTGTGACTTCGAAAGTTACGATTAGCATTCTTTAGTTTATTATTCGGCAGTGGAAAGCAGCATTATACTGTGTTTAAGATCCACAATTCAACTGATAATGTATGAGATGTTCAAAGGCGAGGAATGGCAGCATTATGAACACCAATCCAATCAACATCATTCATCAGTTAAAGTGCATTTTAATGACAAGATTTAATGGCATTTTAATGAGAGCGATTTATGGATCTGGGTTGTAAGATTTATGACTAAAGTTGATTAGGCTGTTTCGCTTCAGCGGAGGATGATTTTTTGAGGAGATGAAAAGTGACATGAAGAAAGAGACGCCATGGCAGGTGCAAACATTGGGGATTGGAGAGACAAAACAGCAGAGATGAAAGTATAGTTGCGTGCTGGAAACCATACAAACATTCTCCATTTTTCACCTAGTGGTGGCTGTCAGATCAGCCCATCTGGAGGATAGAAAGCAAATGAATATGTGTGCGAGAAGGAGAGAAGAGCTTTGTTAATATGAGTAATTAGGAGGATAATTGGTGTCGCTTTAGCTGTCATGGGCAGATGAGTCAACGCAGATGAGAAATCAGACCACACAAACACGTCCACTGTGAGGGATTCATCTCAGTCAGACTCTGCTTGGCATGACTGTAATATCACTGATTGAGCTAAACAGAGCTGGCGTCGAGAGAGCTGATGGAGCTGAGATTGGACCGATTTTTTTTTTTATTGGCTTACGTTTTATATTTTTGGGTCATTACATAAGAGAAAAAAAGTGATGAATCAAATGTTTTAAATGCTACAGTTGAATTTAGGGCTCTAAAGGAACACATCACTTTTTGGTTTTGGAAATAGACCCATTTTACAACTCCCCTAGAGTTAAATAGTTGAGTTTTACTGTTTTTGAATCTATTCAGCTGATCTCCGGAAGTGCTTTTAGCTTAGCTTAGCTTAGCATAGATCATTGAATCAGATTAGACCGTTAGCAACTATTTTGATCATTTCTTATTCAAATCGTGACCCTTCTTAAGTTGCATCATGTACTAAGAGCATCGCAAAATAAAAAATGGCTATTTTCTACACTGAAAAAAAGTATTCAGAGATGATTCCTTGGATTTACTCAAATTTTTTACGTAAAGTGATTGTACACAATTTATTTGTGTTTAATTTAAACAAACAAATTAAGTTGAAGAATATTAAACTTAATTTATTTGTTTAAATTCAACACAAATAAATTGTTTGCAACAGCTCTGCATGCAACACTTTTTTTTCAGTGTAGACTGATATGGCTATAGACTATTTCAGAGTTTATAATATATAAATTTTATTATTATATAGAAGTGATAAAGGCTATTTTACTCCTCTTAGAATAACTCTGATGATCTCTATAATTTTGAACTCCACTGTATATAAACACCTATTAATGTAAAGAAAAGAAAAATATTGTCTGTGAGCCAATAAGCTGTCTGCATATATTGTACATCGCTACAAAAAGTACAATTTTTGCTTTCTATCCATAACTTTTGTTTCAAACTAGACACAAACGTCTCTCGTTTGATTGGCCAGAATGTTATATTTATGAGCTTCGCTGAAGTTTTACTGCAGTTTTCACACAGCACCTTCAAAACTCTTTTTCCAATTCTCCTTAACTCCTGGCTGCTTTGGGAACATTTTCCACCCCAAAGAGAAATATTAATGACGGAGGCTGCGGCAAAGGACCTTTCATTGGCATTTCAGGCAGACTGTGTGAAGCTGTTCTTTTAGCACTGGGTCACCTGGAGGTCATTGTAAGACTGCAAAACTGTGAGATGATTGCTAAGCATTTTATCATCAATTTCACTGCACGGTTTTATTACAATGTAAACCTCTGTGCCCTAGTAAACAATATATTATTTGCTGTTTTTATTATAGTATAAATCATATTTTAGCACAGACAAATACAGGTATAGGGACTTGAGATGATGTAAACTGCCTTGTGTTTGTAACTAAATCAAAACTTAAAATATGGTGAATGTCACAGTATGAGTTATCATTATTCATTCTATGTTTTTGTGGAAATGGGCTGTATTTACTAAAATATATCAAGAAATAAGTGATAAATGTTATGAATATGATTAAAAATATTATATTTTTAATTATCAAAGGCTTTCAGCTGACAATTGGATTTGATATTTAATGGCAAAATAAAAGATTTATGGTTGCGTTATAATCCTTAAAAACAAATTTCCTTTGTCACTGAATACCTGTAATGTATTGTACTTTTTGTCAAAAACACAATAAAAAAATAATAATTTCTATCATCAAATCATTCTCATTATAAAAATGAGATTTGTATTGTGTGTTTTTGATTTATTTATGATTTATTTTTAGAATTTTCTTTCCTTGTTTCTTTTATTCTTGTTTTTGTAAAGCACTTTAAATTAACATTGTGTATGAAATGTGCTATATAAATACAGTGTTCAGCATATGAGTACACCCCCCCCCCCCCCACAAATATCTCATTTAAATTAATATTTTTAATAGGATGCTTTACAATATTATCTTTGTGCATATACATTAGATCAATAAGTACTGAAGCCAAATCTGGAGCTTATCTAACAAAATAGCTTACAATAATAGTTCATCAGTAACAAAATTTATGTCAGGGAAAAATATTAAATAACTTTTTTTTAATTCCTAAATTTAAGAGAAACGAAAAATATATAATGTTTTTTTTAAAAATTGTACTTCTAATTTTTTGCAATATTTTGCATCAATTCAATTGTATTATCTTTCCATTTCTAAAGATCTTCTGTAACTAAAATATTAATATTATAAAAATGTTTATTAAATCTATTTTTTTCCAAATGCACCAATGTATTTCACCCTTATTCACTGAGAAGTGGATTCAAATATTCATTTTCAAAATGGGTTTTACTCAATTATGCTCAGCACTGTAAATTTGCCTTGCCTATCTGCTACAATTTTGTATGGAACTCTTGTTTTACTGAATGATGCTTTTTGCCTTCTAAATATGGTGCAAAATGAGTGATAGTAGTTGTTTATTTGCTGAAAATTGTGCTATATATATATATATATATATATATATATATATATATATATATATATATATATATATATATATATAAATGTAACTTGTTTTATTGATTAATAAAAAAAAAAACATTTATTGTATTTATACTTAAATGTAATAAGCAATATGCATGTTTAGCTCTTTTAGCCTTTGCCTCCCAGCTAGAGAGAATCTTAGTGCAAAAACTCTGACAGCCTCTCAAATGTGCAGACGATCTTCAGCAAAGACTGTGGCGCATTATTTTTGTACAATAGTGTCAGTTATTCCCTAAGCACTGTGCTCATACACATCTGACTCCTACCCCTTTCAGTGTTTTTATCCTTTCTTTCCTCTCTCCTTCTGCCTGTTTTTCATCTTTGAGGCGGAACTTTTTTCCCTTTGAGGAAAAAAACAGCAGCAAGGAAGATAGAAAGTGCCGAACATGCAAAAAGTTTGGGGAAAGGGTGCAAACCCACGCTCATACACACTTCTTTTTTGGTGTTTTTCAGAGCACGATGAGTGTGTGCGTGGACTGAATACCTGTGACGAAAACGCTCTTTGCTTCAACACGGTTGGTGGACACAGTTGCTCCTGTAAACCGGGGTACATCGGTAACGGAACTTTCTGCCGAGGTAAGAGCAAATATATGCTGCGTTAGTCCTTTATTTACAATAGCATCAGCAGCTAATTAGCATTTGTTGACGTTGCAGCTAATACGATTGCCTGCTCAACATTTAACTAGTGTGTTTTGGTTTTAACTTAAGGCTGTTTTCAATAAAACCCTCCGCCTCCCCCAGCTCCACCTGTCAAGGTTTTTACATACTTCCACACATCCAGTAGAAGTACAGTAGCATATCTTTGATTTCATAGCAATACTGAGTTTATACTTCTTCCTCTGTATCCCTCCACCTGTCAAAGTTTTTATGTTCTACTTTACATCCAGTAGAAGTATTGTAGCATGTATATTACATGGTAACATTAGCATATATTTGTATCTTATAGCAATACTGTGTCCATACTTATTCCTTGGAAACCCTCCACCTCCCCCAGCTCCAGCTGTCAAAGTTCTTATATACTTCTATATATCCAGTGGAAGTAGCATGTATCTTACATGCTAACAGTGGCATATTTCTTTGTAACTGATAGCAATACTGTGTCTATACGTCTTCCTCTGAAACCCTCCACCTCTTCCAGCTCCACCTGTCTAGGTACGCAATGGGAGAGGCTCATGCTCAGGTGTAAAAATGTCTTTAGATATGGCATTATTATTTGGATTATTATTATTATTTTGGATTTGCATTTTGCTTTGGCTACTGTACAAATTTACATATTCCACCAAAATCCCAAGCAATTAATTTCAAAGCAGGGTTTTCTGACAGCCATCAAAACAAAGTTATGCAACAGACGAGACATTTGCAACACTGTTACTCATTGTTTGTTGTTTTATTATTATTGCAGGGAATAGCCTAGGGCAGTGGTTCTCAACCACGTTCCTGGAGGACCACCAGCACTGCATGTTTTAGATGTGTTCTTCGTTTGCCACACCCATTACAGGTCTTTCAATCTCTGCTACTGAGCTGATGATCTGAATCAGGTGTATTTGGTTAAGGAGACTTGGTAAATGTGCAGAGCTGGTGGCCCACTAGGAATGTGGTTGAGAAACACTTGCTTAGGGTTATGTTGAAAAACACAGAATCATATCTAGCAGAATACTATTGGAAGGTGACTAATCGTTGTTTTCTAGACATCCCAATTATCACCAAATTTAATTGAAATCAAGCGAGTGCCTGTTTTAGAGAGTGTGGAGAGCTACACACACCCACACAGTCTTTTGAGACTGTCCTATTCTAGTTCCTTACTCAACTAAATTATTGGGTTTCATTAATAAAAGTTTCAACGTTCTTTTACCTTGAGGCTATTTAGTAGCTCCGGTAGGGGTTAAAACAGATTTATTAAAAAGTAAAAAAGAAGGTACCTCCTATGAATACTGTTCGCTGCAGTAAAAATGAACAATACAGTCAAATGGCTCCAGAGAAAGCCACAGACACTACAGAAATGATTAAGGACAGTGAAAGTCTATGGAATGGAAAACATAACGAATAGTCTAAGAATGAGAATGAGTTTGAGTAGCAAAGAAAACCCTTAATATAGGAGTTTGTAAATGTCTTCTATTCCTAAATGTAAATTTTTTTCTATTCCAAAAGATATTAGTTGTTTAATTATTAAAAGTTGTTTACTTTTTTTAAAATCATCTGACCCCATCCAAAGATATAGTGTTCAGGTTTTTTTTTTATGATGTTTTTATATCTAAATTCTTAATGTTGTACTGTAACATGCCTAAATTGTGTACAGGTAGAAACTATATGAAGAGTTCAGATGCAAAAACCTCTTAAGTGCCATCTAGAATTGTCTTCTACAATGAGCGTTTTTCTCTCTTATGTTCATGTTCAGTTATTTCATGTTAATATTGATGAATACAACCTATTAGTTGCCATAAAAGCGAGTAAAGACATAGGAACCTAAGAAAATATGCTAACTTTAGAAGACAAATTCAGATGGCACTCTTTTGAACTCCTTTGTGCATGTTTTGCAATATCATGATCGATTAATACTGTAAAAGTAAGGAAAAGCTTAGAAGCCTAGAGCTCGCTCTGATTATCTTTGTGATCTGCTATGGAAATAAGATGTGCCCATTTATTGCACAAATAAATGTTATACATTGGCAAACCACCTACAAATGTATGCTTATACATGCAGAGTGTTTTACATGCTCATGCTTTTTAATTTGTGTATCCATTACAAAATCAATACTTAATTCTACAATGAGCATTTTTCTCAGCCCCTTCTGTTTATGTTTAGTTATTTCATGTTAAAATCAATGTAATTAACCTATTCTTTGGCATAAAAGTGAAATTACTAAATCAAGACATAGGAGCCTGAGAAAATGTGCTAATTTTAGAAGAAAATTTTGTTTTTTTGCTTCATATATCTGAAAATATTTTTGCAATTGGATGATGGATTATTAAAAGTAAGAGAAAGAGCTCCCACTGATTTAGTGTCATAGGTGATCTGCTAAGTAAATATGTAAGATCTGACTATTCATTACATAAATGAATGTCATAGTAATAATAATAAAAATAATACCTTTTTTTATTGGCGCCTTTTAAAGTACTCAAGGACACTTTACTGTATATAGCAAGCACATCATGAAAATACAAGCAATGAAAGGTAATAGACAGGTTATTAATCCAGTAAATCATTAAAGATGTCTGACATTTAAAACTGAAAATAGTGTCCACTTGTCGAATGTGCAAAGGCAGGAAGTTCCAACTGTGGAGCTGCACAACTAAAAGCACTGCCACCAAATGTTATACATTGTCAAACCTCCTGTGAATTTCTGTATGCTGATTCATGCAGCAGTAGCAGAGTATTTTACATCCTCATGTTGTTAAATATGTGTATCTATCGACATTTTTCCTCTGATACCCCCCTCCTCCCCAGCTCCACCTGTCTATATGTCAAAAGTAACAATTTAAGCAAACAAAGAAATTCATTACTAAATAAATTAATAAGTGACAACTGGATCAACCATTTAGCCTTAAAAGTGTGCTTGACTTCACTGTGCACAAACACGTCAATCTTATTGCACCAAACTCACAGAAAGTAATACCGTTACATTAAAAAAGAAGAGAGAAAAAGAGAGATATATGTAGTATTGACCTTGTTCCAAGGTGTGTTTAGCACCCACATGCTGTACACATGCCTTATCTCTCAACGTCTTGTTTACAGAGACATTTCTTTTATTTATTTATTTATTTTTGTGTTTCGTGTGTAGCACTGTGTGAAGGCCAGTGTCTCAACGGAGGCTCCTGTGTCGCTCCAGATACCTGTGTCTGCCAGCAGGGCTTCACCGGGAAGAGATGTGAGACAGGTAAGACACAATTAGGCCATTTCCTCTAACCTTTCAACAGGAGGCAGAACAAGAAAGTGAGAGTGGAGAAAAGTGTACAACATATTCACATACTGTGACGTTGCCCTCCAGTGTTTTTTTTTGGATCAGAGTGATGGACTGAGATGGTAGGAATATTATGCTGTAGGAGCTGCAGAAGTCATGGAGGTGTTGTGTTTTTGGTATTTGGTATTTTTGGTCGCAGCAGGTGAGATGCTTACCTCGGATGACTTCCCAAAAATATGAAAATGGCTAAAGATGCCTGTGTGTAAACTGTGCCCCCATACATACACATATTGAAGGTGTATATTTTGTATATTATGTTCTGAAAGGGTGGTGATCATGTGGCGTCATGCAGTATATCACTTTTAGATGATTATTCTTTATTTTAGTAAATAATGATCTGTTTTTTCATGTATGTAGACTCCAAAAAATGTTTATGCTGCTTGTTCAAATTACTTATATAAATTGAGAACATTTTGAGATTTATTTTTGGGACAACTTAATTGTTTTATGTTTAATCCACTTAAATTAGTTAATAATAATAATAATAATAATAATAATAATAATAATAATAATTTACTCTACACAGTGGCGCAGTAGGGAGTGTTGTCGCCTCACAGCAAGAAGGCCACTGGTTCAAACCTCGGCTTGGTCAGTTTGCATTTCTGTGTGGAGTTTGCATGTAGAAATACACCACGAGTCTCCTCATACACCACGAGTGTGCAGCATCCACCTGGATGATGCGACAGCAGCCATATTGCACCAGACCGCACACCACACACCAGCTGATTGGTGGAGAGTAGACAGTGTGATGAAGAAAATAATGATATAAGGATGGTTTGGAGGCCATGATGGACAGAGGCCAGTGAGCAAGTTTAGAAGTTCTTTTTGCACTGTACTGTTCTTTATCTGCACAACTCTGGTTTACTTTGCACTCATTTGCTATATGCCCTTAATGTCACTGTATTGTTTACAATTTTATTACCCATGTATATTTTTTTAGACCACATTTATGTGCAATGGATATACTGTAAATTTTCTTTTTCTTAAACTCTACTATTTTTTATATATATATTTTATATTAATGTTAAGCACCTTGGGTCTGAGAGTAACGCAATTTCGATTTTCTATATGTCTTGTACATGTGGCTGAATTGACAATAAAGCTGACTTTGACTTTGAAGTTTGGCCTCGATGTCGGGGTTTTTAATGACCACAGAGAGTCAGGACCTCGGTTAAACGTCTCATCTGAAAGATGGTGCTCACTGAGCAGTATAGAGTCCCCTTCATTATACTGGGGCATTAGGGCCCATACTGACCACAGGTTGGGTGCTCCTTACTAGTCTCACTAACACCACTTCCGATTGCATCCTAGCTAACAGCTAATACTGTTAAGGCAGTGTTTCCTATAGGATTTTTTTCCAGCAGTGGTGGCAGGCCTTTTACACAGATCTTCCATCTACCTATGGCGTTATTTCAATGACAAATGTTGTGATCGCAGTAACACAAGTCGAGCATGCAAATGTTTTTGTCTGCGCTCAGATTTCCTTCACAACTTTTTGCAAGCCCTCAAATATAAGCTACTCAAGCGCAGATTTTCTTGCGTGCTCTTAAACTAACATGGCTGAAGTGCGATTTAGTAAGGTTTATGTAACAAGAATGTCTCCGACATTTATTAGATTTGCTAGAAATAGACCTACAGAATGGCATTGATGCTTCCTGAAGTAAAACGGTCATAAGCTCCAGCAAGATAAAGCAATTGTATGCAGAAACATAGATCTTTATCTATAAATGAAGTAGAATTATGGAAACTGTGTTCATCATAGCTACATCGTGTTTGATAGCCTCGCGCAGCTCTGTCACTCAGTCAGCATGTAAACTTAAAAGGTTAAACAAATAACGCACAGCACAGCTACGATTACAGAAAAGTTTGATCTGTTATTATTCTCTATTATAACCCACTATAAAAAAACAGCAACAACTGAAAGTTTTAAATAAAAAGCTATAATGTAATGTGCCTCGCCATGGAAAAAATTATGTAGTGAAAACCATATGTTAAGGTTACTTAATTAACTTGTGTTGAGAAAACATGAATGAATTGTGTGGAACCTTGCATTTTTACAGTGTTGGTACAGTATGTATGTGTATTTGTTTGTTTGTTTATTTATTTTTAATGAGTTGTTCTTTTTGTGCTAAAATAACTACAACAAAAATATAAGCAAAGAACTTTAACTGTGATTTTAAGACTTCCCCAAAGTGTATATCTTAACTACATGTTCTTCTCTTGTTGGCACTAAGTAAATGCTCGTTTTACACAAAAATCTAGTATTTTTACTCCAGTTATGCTTAAAGAAAAAGAAAAAATTAGTAATAAGCTTAACTCACCAAATTATATCTTATATAAGTTCTAAAATCCTGCAGTTTTTCTTATTTACTGATATAATCGAGTTTTAAATTGTACTCCAAGCCAAAAATACTTTTAAGAAGCTTGTTTTTTATAGTGCAGGCTTCTTTTGACAGGTACAATTTAAAGCATGCCACTGAACTCTGGAACCGCAGAAGAGAGATGGACATGAAGCTTTTGTATGGCTCTAGGGATTGGTGTGTGTTTGTGTGTGTGTATGTGAGAGAGAAAGAGAGAGAGATAAAGAGAGAGAGAGAGAGAGAGAGACCAGAGACCTCAGTACCTTTAGCTCAGTGTTACCCAGCAGGGTATCTGCTGATGGTTTTTTACCATCCAGTCCAACTCCCACTCACTCCTGTGTGTGTTTGTGTATCTTTGTGTGTATTGGTGAGGGTGTGAGAGTGACAGAGGGATGATGAAGAAGGGAAAGAGAAAAAGAGGAGTGAAGAGAGAGGAAATGAGGAGGCATGGGGACTAAAGGAGACAGCTGGTGGAGAGATAGAGAGTAGATAGAGAGAGTGTGTGTGTGTGTGTATGTGACTCACCATTCTTGGATGGAGAACTGGCTGACACACAGACTCACTCACAGCTATGTTATACGTGGGTCAGGCTTTGCCTACTTTGCAGGGACCAAATGTCCTCAGAAGGATCGTAAAAAGATGAAAATAGCAACATGAGAAAACAGCCCGAACAACAGAGCCAGACTTGGTTAGTCTTCTTGCTTTTTCAAAGCTTCATTAATAGTTTTTTAAATGTTTGTTTGTAATAAAACACCCAAGCCACTTGATTTATGTATTTAAGACCTTATTTCACATTCATTTTACGTCTCAAAATCCTACAACTTTTTATTATTTTACGCCTTTTGTCAAATTCACCTAACTATGGAGGATCAAGCTGTTGCTTGTGGTGTGGCTATGTCAGTGGTTCCCAAACTTTTTTCTGTCAAGCACCCCTTTCTCCGATTAAACTCCACATTTTGATTACAATAACTAAATGCACATTGTTTCTGTATGCGTGATTTACATAGAATATAATAAAATATGTGAATTTAATGGACAAGCTTTTATGAAGTTGACAATTTTCACAGCGTCATGCATAGGTTGTAAATTACAATTTGTAATGTGATGTCTCTCTCTCTCTCTCTCTCTCTCTCTCTCTCTCTCTCTCTATCTCTCTCTCTTTCTCTCTGTCTCTCTCTGTGAATTATTTTTTCTCTCAAAATTATGACATGTGAAGTTTACCCAAGATAAATGCATAAAAATATTAACAATAACAACATTACAAACATTCGCTCGTGCACCCCTGGTGGTCAGACTGCGCACCCCACTTTGGGAACCACTGCATTATGTGTCCATTTGTCTGAAATATTCAGAAGCAGCAATACTGTTTTGTTTTGTCCGTATAGTTAGTGTGAGATTCCCACTTTTTTAAAGAAAAAAAATAACATTAATGCACATCAACTCGCTAGTAACTTTTTAAAATGTCCCTGTAGAAAAACAGTATTAAATAATTGGAAATCTGGCAAGCACAATAATCAAACTATAGGAACAACTGTCGTCGGAACCAAAGAACACAGGATTTTGTTCTCCGGAATCCTCTCAAGCGGTGGACCTCAACATTCCAATTGCTTGCCGCCAAACGACTTAGCTCATAACTATAAAGCTACTTTGATGCTCTCACCACTTTCGTAGAAAATGCAGTTACTTAAGTCTAGCTTTTTGACATGTCTATATATATTTCAATATTTTTATTTTTGATGTGCTGCTTTTATACTTTCCAGTTTATTTTTATTTTTATATTATATTTTTTAAATGATTTGTTTGTAATACAAGAATATCACATTTCTCTACTAGTTAATTCTTTATGTGATGGGTTTGCAGCCAGGGCACTGAAGTTAACTTAGGCTCGTGAAAAATACGTGCTTGTGGTGGCGTTCTGGCAGAAACTGAAACTGCGCTGCATCTTGGGTGTTTCCAGGGAGTTTAAAAGGGAAATGTCTTTTAGTTGTGCTAAAATGCGTGTTCAATGTTCTTAGAAGAGACAAAAAAAAATTTAATTGGCTGTTTCTGTATTTACCCTCAGGCCGTTGGGGGTATTTTCTTCCTCAGAAGGATTTTAAAGAATATTTTAGCTTGTCCTTGGTGATTCAAAGAATGCAAGTCAATAGCTTTTGACAGTTTGAGAGGCAAAAAAAGCACTTTTCATTCAAGTTTTTATCATTTTTAAATCGAAATGTTAGTTTTGGACTTCTTTATCTTACAAAAAAAAATCATAATTAATATTGGAATAAAATGGTCACTTTGAATAAATTAGATTTATAATAGTTTTACTTAGCACTGGCTTTTGTACATAACTATAAGCAGTACATTTCAATATTTGTATGTTTGATGTGCTACTTTTCTGTACTTTCCAGTTTTTGTTCTTCATTAATAGATTTTTTTAAATTTTTTGTTCGTAATACAAAGATTAAAACATTTAAAACTTTATTTATGTATTTAAAAGCTTATATTTCACATGCATTTTACGCCTCTAAAGGACACTAGGACTTGCTTTTGGACATAGCTATATATCTATTC